AAATCTAGCTTTTGTGGAGGTCTAATAAATAACAGAGAGGCGGAGGAACACCTTTACTATTACAACCAAAAATAGAACCAGACACATTCATTTCACAGTCTGTTGGCGGACCTTCTTGTTAAATGGCTTTGTTCTTGCCATGAATTACTTTGATAACAAGCAGAAAATCTTAATACTTTGCTGTATTAGTAAAGCAGATTTTTGTTGTTACTCAGTGAGTCAAGCATGCAAGTATGATATCTTTGGTGAGCATTTAGGTAAGTTTGGCCTACATTCAGAAGTTTTTACATACATGGCATTTATGAATAGCAGACTTCAGTAACATTAATTAATGGGACTTATTCAGTATTAGTACACACACGAGTAAACACACTGATCAGTTCATTAACAGTGTCATAAACAGCAATTAAGCTATGAACTAAGTACTTAGTGACTAATGCTTAATGAGCAGTTATCTAATACATGAATAATAAATATTAAATTACTTATTAGCATATAAATATCAATTAATTCATGACCCTTATGGTAAAGTGTTACTGAGACTTCATATTTGCTAATATCTCAATGAAATCTACATTCCACATACACTACTGTTCAAAAGTTTAAAATCACTTTTTTCAATAGACTTTTCAAAGTCATTTTTAAAAACAGTATTGTTCTTATCCTAAAATCTGAAAGGCTCAGTCAGATTTAAGGCTGTTGGAAAACACTCAATACACGCGCACCTATGACCACGTCACAATAATTAAATTCTGTATTAATATGCCAACTCACTAATGCTGCAAATGGACTTTTATGCTCCTAGTATGGACTACCAAGTTTACCGATGAAGTAAGAATCCTTTTTTATTTCAGCTGAGAGGATGACAACATATTTTCTTAACAAATAGACACAAAGATAACAGGCTGAACAGGCTACAAGCCAACAAAAGCCACTGCACAACACCAAACACATTGCACTGCTACCACATAGAATGTGTTGCAGTGAAGGAGCCAACGAATGTCAATTTGTATTCATTTACACTCGATCCATATAAATTTAATGAAATAAAACATTCAACATAAGTTATTCCATTTGGCATCAATTTACTTTTCAATTTGACTTCAGTTTACCTGAGGTAACACCATTTGCACTTGTCTGTTTATCTAAAAGATAGACTGCCTGACACCTTCATTAAAATCAATGGTTTTGAATTTTTGGATGCTGTGCAACTCAGTGCATCCAGTGGTCTTTCTGCTGCTTGCATGGACCACTGAGTCAAAAATACATTTTTACATCACATTGCTGAATATTATATAGTAATAACTGCAGTGAAACCCAACATATAGGAAATGGTCAGCGTATCACTGCACTGAAAGTACACATGTTGAAGAAAGAGTTTGATGTGAAGAGGTCATTTTCCTCCTAGCCTGTTATTAAAAGAGCTCAGCGTGGAGCTGTAGGAAGGAACTGTAGGAGTGCACAATAGTTTCTTTGCCTTATCTAATGGAACACAGATGCACCTGGCAACTCATAACGAGAGCACTTCCTTATCTTGTAATTGAGGGGTCAAAGCCTCTTATTAAGTGTAGCCCTGCTTGTGACGCCCTTAAGGGGAGTGAATGTCCTGAATACACTCATAAAGTTCTCTTTCAGGCAATAGATCACACTGTAACTATGTATCCTGGACCAACGCCCTCTAATAAATGAAAATGAAGGCTTGATTTCCTGGTTAGCTCGATTTGCATTTGATATTTCCCTCCATAGCTCTCTAGACAGATCTCTGGATGTGATTGTTTCTTTGCACATGCACATACCAAAAAGGAGGGGATAGTGTACATATATAGAAATGAATACTGGTCTGAAAGTGTGCCATGTTATGGATTTTCCTCGAGATGCAAATTTATTTCATGATGTGTTTGTTGTAGCCCAGAAGGACAGAACGTTTGGCCGACGGTGGGCTTCTGTGCAAAAATGTGTGCATCGCATTCATTTTAGTGCATTCAGTTTTTATCAAATATTAGAAATAACTGTTACATAATTGTTACATTTCCTTGTAATGGTAATCTAGGTGTACCTAGTCTCAATTTCTGCATTTTATAAATATTTATTGGATATACACACTAATGGCCCACAGTTTCTGTGCTGGTGCATCCCTATATTTTACCATATCATGGATACCGCAAAGGGTGGAAAACATGATGATATTTTAACATTATTGTGAGAAATTACATATGCTTTTCTGAGCACACTGTGGATATTGTTAGTACTTAAAGAGCACTGATCAAGTGCATGTTTCATTACAAACAGATCATAATTAGTTCTGTTTAACTGGATTTAGTGCAGCACAGTTTGTGAAACGTTGAATAAAATTCACTGTACATTGCATAGTTTTTGTTAGTATTTTTCAAATCTCAGAAACCTCTTTATTGTGAATATATAGAATCTATATATTCTCTATATTTAAACTATCGTGATGCAGATCAATATTGTGAAAATGATGTAATATTGTATTTTTGCCATGTCGCCCACTCCTAGACACCATGATGAGCCAGAAATATCCCTAAGACAAATTACAAACTTCTGTAGCTTATATAATTCTTGCAAACCCAATAAAAAAGTCACAATCTTAACTGCCCCCCACCTAAACCCCACTTTACCCCACTAAATTCAAATGAATTCAGAATTCAGTGAAACATTAGCAAAACTGCAGATTACAATCTATCCTATCATAAAAAGTATGACTAAACAAGACTCAGAAAAGCTTTCAATGGGTTCCTAAGTGGGTAATATTATGTTCCTTGAAGGATGAAGGGATGATTGAAGTCATCAGGTATGAAGCGTTGAAGTGGCTTGATGTAATGGCTGGAAATACTGGTGGGGGAAATCCCTGGCTGGTGTCTAACATGAACCTCTACGTATTCAAATGAATAAATAAATAAACACATTACGGCCTAGAAAACATCAAAAACATTGGAGGAGGGATGTATGATGCAAATGCAGGACTGCGGAGGTGGAATATCTCTCTCTCACACACACACGCACACACACACAGAGACATATTGTCATTGTAAAAAAACCCACATTCTTTAAACCATCAGCAGTCACTACTCAGGGAAGTCACATCTGTTTGTATTTTAGGCAAATTAAATGTGGATCTACTCTTTCATTGGCCAAACTAATGAAACTAAGTGCATTACAACAAAAATAAACAAACAGAAAATATGAGAAATAAAAATACAGATGGAGTAAAGAAACAAAAGTGAAAAAGTGAAAAGAAACCATATGAAACAGATATCCTGCACTAATCTGTCTCCATTGACTGCACAATCATTTCAAGAGTCATTGAAGATGTAGCAAAAAAAAGCCTACGCTAACATGAATCACTCTTTCAGTAAATTAAACACTACCTTGTCACAAGGCCTCATTGAAAGATCTCACTAGCTCTCACCCTGGCAAATTATAGTACTCAGGTGTCACATGTGTGTATAATGACTGCAGGGTCGTCCCTTTTGCGGATGTGAGCAACATGTGTTCCATGGAGGCCAGTGTAGGCATATGAGGCTATGATAAAAGTTACCTAAATTTACTACACTTTGAATGGTTTCTGCTTTGATAAACTGGTGGAATCCTTAACTGGATGCTTGTTTATTCCCAAGACTGCTACAGTCATCATGAACACACATCTCTTACACAATGACTACGGCGCTTACATAAGCTGAGATTAGGGCCGCCACAGTCACTCGATAACACTAGATAAAAAAAAAATCACTGGATAAATTAGAGATTCCACTGTTCTCATACCAGGTATCAGTATCATGCTGATATCAAGAAAATGCTGGAGTGGATATTGGTAGAAAAAACAGAATGAATCTGATCTGATCCAAATCTGGACAGAAATAGCACACTGTGTAATGTGAGCATGTTAGCTGTGTATTTCTTCCAATGGGGCAGCGGAGTGTTTCAGTAGTTTGAGCATGATAGCCAGTTTAGTAGTTTTTAAAGAATAAAGATTGGCTGATACTTAAGAGTGCAACATTGGCATCATTATCTGAGTGTCATTACATTTTGACAATTATGAAGAAAAACAATAATTTTGTCTCTTAAATGATTGCTTAATATTACCAGAAACATGACCTTACAAGGTAAAAGGTCCATTTTCATTTCAGGTTGACATTAAGGAGTTATCTTTCTTAAAAATCACATCAAATCTAAGAAAACCAGTTAACTCTATTAAGTGTGAACCACAAGCAGTGGCAGCTTATGGGAGCATCCAAAAATACATCCTTTCTACATCTGTCCCACATAAACATACCACCACACCTGCTGGCATTTTAAGTGGAGATGAAACAAACAAAATTGCAAATTGCACTTTTGGCATTTGGAATTATGGCATCCGTTATGTTCTAGTATTGACTGGTTGTAATCAGTAGAAAGTATTTTGAAAGCTTAGTAATTTTTAAAGAAAAAAGATTGGCCGATACTCAAGAGTGCAATATTGGAATCATTATCAAAAAAGAAAAAGAGATATCATCTCCAGTCAAAACTTACCTTCCTAATGAATTACCTATAATTAGTTAGCAATTTGTACATATTTTAAATTCTCCCATTGGTCTCTCTAACAGTTACTGTTCCACTTAGTGTCCTCAATTTTTTAATTTTTTTAATAAGTCTTTTTAAATGCTTCCTTGTGTGTATATTTTCCAATAAAGTACGCTGCAATCTTCAGAAGGCTCTGCATGGCTTGTTATTAAGTCCATTTTAATTGGCCTTTTTAAAAATCACTGTTTACTTTATTAATCGTCAAAATAATCAGCAGATTCTTCCATTACTGATAAAATAGGCGAGAGTGACAGCCCCAGCTGATGTAAGGCAGATTTTAGTCAGACTGATGGGAAGAGATAACTGCAACAAAAAGCCAGGGCCCATCTTTTTTTCATTTGTGGCTTTATTTAAAAGCCTTCTTGGAGAAGGTACAGTTACCACTTCTAAGGTTACTCTCTGAAAAAACAGACATGGTAGACATGACATTCAACTTGTTTTTGCTTGCTACAATAAAACACTGTGATATATTTATTATGTTCAGTACAATGGAAGCTATCTACAAGTGATATGATATGTACACTAGCATCAAACAGGAACATTAAAACAGGGCCATACATATTTTGTATCCTAGTGGAGGTTTGTCTTCTAACACAATACTGCCACCTAATGGTGAATAAATATTAGCACTATTACATGTTTAAGGACAGTTTTCTACACACGTCTGCATATATGTACACATCATTTAAACTACCTAAATCCAGCTTTGGGTTTTTGTGAACAGTTAAGCTTTAAATTATAACATTGAATGCAAGGGACAAGTTTAAATAAGTAAGTAAAATCGCAGGACATAATGATTAATAACATTGATCACAAAGGTTTTTGTAAACATAAATACTGATCATATTTTTCTTTTTGCTTTTTCAATTACTACTTTATACATCAAATGAGAAACAGACTTCAAATGATAATAGCAGAGTTAAAAGTACATAAAAAGCTAGAAACAACAATGCCCACTTTATAAACAAAACTAATATCAGTGTTAACCTTCCAAACACCTACTTTTTCCACTTTCTCTTACCTCCTGTCATCAACCACCTTCTGTTTATTCATGTTCTTCAACTATACAACATCCTCAGACCATCTACAAAACATGCTTAATCCACTGTCGTTTTCTATATTAAAGTCAACATGAATCAGAAATCATAACTCATTTTTCTTTTCTACACTCTTAAAAAAGATGGTTCTTCATGGGTTCCTTAGTAAAGAAAACAGTTCTATATATAACCATGAACACCCGAAGACCCCTTTGCATCATTAAATGGTTCTTTGCATCATGAAATGGTTCTTCAGAGTGATGGAGAATGTGTTGTATATGGCTCTTTATAGATCCTTTTGAAACATTTGCTCTATATAGCACCAAAAAAGGTTACAGTGTCATTCTTGTACCAATAGAAGAACACTTTTTGGTGATATACAGAACCCTTTTCAAAAAGGTTCTATTCTACAAAAGCCAATAAAAAGATTTGGAAAAAAAAGTTCTATATAGAACCATCTACAGCTCATTCCTCATCAATCTAAAGAGCCCTTTCACAATGCAAAGAACCCTTTAATCATGCAAAGGGTTCTTTGAGTGTTCATGTTTCTATATAGAACCATTTTCTTTACTAAAGAACCCTTGGAGAATCATCTTTTTACCGTGACACACTTTAGAGTATAACTGTATTACGGAAAACCTTTGAGCTAGCTGAGCAAAATATTACCAGAAACATGACCTAACAAGGTAAACAGGTCCATTCTGATTTCAGGTTGACTTTGAGTTATTTTTCTTAAAAATCACATAAAATATAAGGAAACGAATTAACTATTAAATGTGGACCACAAGCAGTGGCAGCTAATGAGAGACTCTAGAAATACATTTATGTTCTGAAAACATCAACTGCCTCTTTATCCTTTCCACATCTGTCCCAAATAAACATACTACCACATCTTCTGGCATTTCAAGTGGAGATGAAACAAACAAAATTGCAGTTAACTTCTGGCATTTGAAATTATGGCATCCATTATCTTCTAGTTTTGACTGGTCGTTATCAGTAGATTAAAGTACATGTACAGATTAGGTCATTAGCACTAAACAGAAGGTCGTATACTTAGTCATGAAGATTTTAACTGATTACAGAGCCCAGTGGTTAGGACAATGTTTAAGATTAGGCAGCACTGAGGTCATTATGAACTTCTTCAAACAGGTAATAGAGATAAGCTTCAGAGACCATACACAACTTCATTGGTTTGCGTATAGAAAAAGTAATAGGGCCAGTTTTTCAAGCCAATCTTACTTTTGAATATTATTCATAAATAATAGACTTGAGAGATGTATCATTAAGATTTCTAACAGAAATGCTACAGAAAAGCTAGTACATCTCCTCCTGAAGAAGTCCTTGTCAGAGATCTTGAACAAAGCCCTTTACGATCAGAATGCCTTCTGGGAAAAGGACTGCTAAACCATGACATCCATTGGTCCATGATGTGAGCAAAGCTTCTCAAAAGGAAACCAATTCATACAGTTCATATAGTTCATGCACAGCAAACTTATAACACACTTCATGATTAGTGAAATCTCAGGAGTCTAACACAAAGTATACTTCAGATCACTTCTGCGCCAGCACCAGTAATACCGAAAAATATACACACATTCCTCAAATTACTGGCCGGCACTGTACCTTTTTGGAGCTGGAAATTATAAAACATGAAGAGAGGTTGGTCCACAGTCGTCAGTGTGGTCAGGACCCGAAAGCATCAGGCATTCCATCCCGTCATGCTCTGTGACTCGTCCTCTGGACCTGAGGCACCAGTGTAACAGCCGCGCTCAGAGGCCCAGAGTACCCTGTGCTGAAAGTCTGGAGTCCAGCCACCAGACACTTCCAGCTGTAGCGAAGAGCTTTCCCCACGTTCTAATAAAGAGAGCAAGGGAGAGTGATCCACATACAGAAACATCACTTTCTGTTACATAGTTGATTGCGCTTTGTAGAACATCTTAGGTTTATCCCACAAACCACCTTTAATACACTATGATGAGCAGGAAAAATATCTACACTGCGTCAAAAGAGACCTTTTGCTTGTTCCACTATGCTAAGAATGTTTTGTAACATTGAGTAAAGGCCATTTACTGTGTGGTCAACTGAAATTTTTGGGTAATCTGGAACAACCTAACATATATAAGCATTCATTCAAATCTATTAATACAAAAATAAAAATTCTCAGGTCTTCTTTCGTCTATGGCTCTCCATTTTTCATGGAAGATCCACAGGCCTAATATCACAAACACTCAACATTACTGACCACCACGTTAATATATCAAATTCTTACGTCATGTAAATCATATGACGCCAGTAAAAAAACACTCTGTAAAAGGGTCAGATATCCTGAAAACAGCAAAACTGAGATTTAAGAGGAAAAAAACCCTTTGTAAGCGAGCTAATCTCAGAACGTTACATAACCGTCCAAAGGTAAAAAGTAAATCCACATACTTTCCTGAACGTTTTGTATTTCTTCTGTTTCTTCTTTGCGCTCTCTTCTTTTGCTATATCGACACTTTGGTCTTCCTCCAAAGGCTCATATTTGTCAGGCAGCACGGCTATGTGCACTTGTTTGGCTGATTTTTCTTTCCTCGCACTCTTCTCTCTCTTCTTTCTCTTCTCTAACTCTCCACAGCTCGGCCCCTCACACTCTTCCCAGCGCTGTTCGTCCACGCAGTCAATAATCTTTGATTTATCCTCCTTTTTGTGATTTTTAGACTTCTTTTTGGATTTGCGAAGCTTCTGTTGTGGCATTGTTGTGGTTTTAATCGGCGCTCCTGTCACCGTGTCTGTGTGGCAGGTGAAGTTTCCTCAACTTCGTGCGCATGCGCAGAGCAGGGCATTCTTTACCACAAATAAAGGCTTCTTAACAGAAACAGAGAAAAAAACCAAAGAAACGGCGGGAAACGGTGTGCGCGAGGAGCAGAAACGGTTGAAAGCTGATTGTGGTTTAAGTTTGGTACAGTTAGTTGACATTTACGGCTTCATTTGACGGAAAAGTTAAAGACACTATCAATATCACTGTCATGCAGACTAAACGGCATTGTTTGTATTTCCTTCTTTCTGAAACATTTAAAAATCACTGAAGAGCATTTATTTATTAACCCCCACATCTCAGATACCTGTAGAGTTAGTCTGAAGCTGCTCATTAACAAGATGCTTTTTTCTCCTCAAGGTGCTCAAAGTTCTGTGACCCCGCCAATGGGAATGAGGTAAATACAACCACCACCACAATATTTGCACAAAGTCTCTACCCAGAAAAGTTCTGAAAGGCTTTTCTGGCAACTGTTGTCCATTAAGACGAGTCTAAACGTGCAATCACCACAAAACAGACGTCAAACATTAATGTGAACATGTCCCACTGCCCTAGTCTTGTGGCTACCTTTTTGTGGTACACTGTCAGCCCGGATAAGTTGAATTTACTTAAAAAATGTAGGAAACTGGTTGGTTTAAAAAAGTTAGGTAAACTGTCAAGTTATTATGCCTTAAAGGCAAGTTTATTTAACTTTTTTTGTTACCACAATTGCTTTACCCAATAATTATACTTAGTATCTTGAGTTTAAGTAAATAAAATATTGATTTCTACTTAGTTTTCTTTTTTATTCTATTTAACTTAAATATCGATTAGACTCCTGTATTAGTAGGACATGTTTATATCTATATTACATATATATATATATATATATATATATATATATATATATATATATATATATATATATATTACATATATCATTTATTTATTTATATAGTGCAGGTGGGTGGGTGGGGTGATGGTTTGGAGTCTTATGTATGAAAGACAATTCCCACCATTGGAGGAGAAACAAATCCCTGTTTCTGGCAGCAGGATGTCAAAATTTTGAACTACTGTCTAACAACACTGACGTACTTTGTCAAAAGAATGACTTAGTATCTTGAAATAATGCTTTACTGTGTCAAATGATGGATTTCTCAAGATTTTGACAACTTCTCAATGTAATGACGTACTCTGTAATGATTATTAAAAAAGCATGATTTTTCTGCATTTCAAGAAAGCAAATATTGAGATAATAAGTATTTATTATGGCATTGTAAGTCATTATTTTGAGATGCTAAGTCAAGATTTTGAGAAAATAAGTTATTGTTTCAACATAAAAAGACTCAAAGAACCATATGCTTAAATGTTTTTTTGCGTTATGAAATGGTTCTTCAGATTGATGGGGAATATGTTGTATATGGTTCTGTATAGATTCTTTTTGAAAATGTTTCTATAGCACCAAAAAGCGTTCTTCTTTTGTTTCAAGTTTGACATTGTAACAGTAGCAGAACCCTTTTGGTGCTGTCATTGCCTTTACTAAAGAACCCTTGAAGAATCTCTTTTAAGCGTGTGTGTCATTATTTTGGGATGAGTTAAGATTTCTTGATACTAAATCAAAATTTAATTAAATTAAGTTACTCTTGAGAGATTGTATGCCATTATTTTTGAGATATTAAGTCAGTATTCTGTGCTGCTAAGTCAGATACTAATGCCAGAAATGCTTCTTCCTGATGGGAACAAGTTCCATATTTATGGCAAAATTTTGTCTTAGACTGAGGTTTATTAAGAAGTGGTGGAACTAACAGAAATATGAATACAGACATCATTTGTTTCTTGCAAATAAGTGAGTGTTAAGGTTCACTTTAAATTTCCATACATATCCTTACCCACTGACCCCCATGTAAACAAAGAACCACCCCAAATTTGGTAGATGCTGCATTGGGCATGATTGAGACTACTGTATATAGCCTGAAAAAGGGGTATAATTATTTTACGTCATACTGACTAATGATTATACAGATATCATAACAAAATATGACTGAGATTAAGGTTTACTAAATGCTAAATAATTTGCGTAGATGGCCAGAATTATACATTCATTTCTCTGGTTGAGACAGCTTACTGTAGGCTTTTACATCAGGTAATATGAAGTCCACTGAGATTACAGCAGATAAAATTACAGAGCAGCACGTAATGGTAATGTTAGCATGCTTAATCACCTTTTATGACTGACCAAAGTTTGTATGCAGTCAGAGAGAACTCGAGCAAAGTTCAGCATGTTTTGCAGGGCAGGCATGTTCACAGTGTGTATGTGTATGAGCCCTGGGTGGGGTTTGGGACAATCCAGGCTAACAAGAAATTAGAGAAAATTGTGATTACCAGTTAGATCTGCAAAGAAAGATGTTATGTACTCAATTATTTTGAAACCCTCTTCTGCCAAGTCATGTATTAATGGAGTGCTGTTTGTCCTATTTAAATTAAAAACAATAGAGAACGCTGGAAGTATTTAGGCCAAAGTGGCTTGCAGGCCTGTATCACTCAAAACACTGCGTGCCTGAGTTACTTTTGAGTCAGTGGTAGTTTTTGTCATCTAATCACTGGCTTGGAAGTCCCTTAAACATATTTGATTAGAGGCTCATGCTGTGAGGGCCTGTTTACTGAGCTAACATCCACTTTTTGGAATGGCAGTGCCAGTGAGCATTACGTATGTGGCCCACAAACCAAAACATTCTGCTTTGCTTTGAAAGGGTTTTAGTTTAACTCTTTCTAGCACCAGTGCAGATATTACTGACATCCAGGCAGAGTAACAGACATTTTGAAGAGTATCTTTATGAGAGATGTTTCAGAGTGTAATTGTGTTGTGTGTAAAAGCATTTTGTTGACTGTTGACTTATTTTAATGACATTTTATTCACGTAAGAGAGGCTGGTCGATGGCTAGAGAAAACTAAATTATGATTAAATTAAATGTCTGGACATGTTTTCTATAGAACAGATGGGTTATTCTCATGAACATGATAAATACTGGGACCCAACTTTAAAAAAATTAAATAACTAAAATGTTTTCCTTTTTTGGATAAACAAACAATGATGCCTGGTTGAATAATTAAAAATAAACCTGATTTGATTTCATTTGTTTTAAATTAATTATTAGTTACATTTTTCAATTTAAGTCACCAAATTCTTATTACCACAATACAGTAAGGCTGGAAGATAAATCGGTAAATAAAATTGGTTTTTTTTTGCGGGTTTTATTTTAAAATGTTATATTTAACATATTTAAGATAAATATTAATGTATTCATTTTTTGTCACATATATATATATATATATATATATATATATATATATATATATATAGCAAAATGGAAAAGGAAAAGTGTAAAGACATTCCACAGTTAAAAGTGATATAAATGCTTTTTTTCTAATTATAAATATCAGTAATGAGAAACAGATATGTGGACACATTACAGCAATAAAAATTGTAAATAGTAAAAATGTAAAAAAGAACTGTACCATATAGAGCTCCAATTGATCTGATATATGAATATTTTCAGCTGCGTGATGCTTATGATACTCAAATCTTTATGGACATGTTTTGAGGCGTTTGTGTAAGAATGGCTCAGCTGAACATGTTGCAGATGGAATGTGTAAATTAAGGAGTCTCTCCTACCTCTGCGATTTAAATCGAGATTTCTCATGCTAATGAGTCATAAACATTACAGATGTTCTGTGATAAAATGACAGTACCCCACCAGCTCATGTAAAACTAATCAAATCTTTTTGGGTGACATAGACTTCTATAACATTAGCCTTGTAGCTCCAGTGCAAAACTAAAGAAACAAACACCAGACACCAGACGTCTCTTTGGTCAGTCGACAATGTTTGGGATAAAGAGACAATTGTACAATTCTTTTTTGGTCTTTAAAATTACTTTACAAGAACAGACATTTCTCCAACAGACTTTGGCCACAGGGGCAGGCTAGATATATAGGTTATGTATTTTATCTTACAGAACTGAATCAGACTGTTCAGTTATCAGTTCAGATAGACAGTGGCATACATTATTCCTCCCATACTGCACATGACTTGCCATAATGAATTTTCTTAAGTCTTTTAATTTCTCACATTATTTGTGTATCAAATACATGGTGGGTGTGTACGGAGAGTAAAAGTAGAGAGATTAGATTCTTCAGAAATATAAGGTGTACATCTAAAAGTTGCAAAGTACATTTACCTTTAAAATTCATTCCTCATAATGCCTCAGGACAGTGATTAAGTTATTGTTTAATTGTTAAATAATTTCTAACAACAAAAAATGCTGCTGTAAAAAATGATGCTGATCATTACAATTTTGGTAATTTTTGGTTATTTTTACACCAAAATGTGGTCTTAGACAAAAGTAAATCAACACTCTTTTATATCAGGAAGTGGTGGCAGAAAAAAATCGAAATATGGATACAGAAATCGTTTGTTCCTTGCAGATAAGCGGGTGTTAAGGTTCACTTTGACTATCCATATATGCTTCCCCACTGCCCCCAAAGTAAACAGAGTAACCCCTCTCCACCCCTACAAATCCATTGGTTCCTGTTGAATGAAATCATGAAATTTTACCCTGTCCCCCCAGCAGTACAAAAGTAGAGAGGAATCAGAATTTTATAGAGTGAACATCATCGATCTGTGCTGCTGTAAGACAATTAGTATAAAATTCAAAATTTAATGCGGAAAAAACAGCCATTAAACCTTGGTTCTCTGAACTTTGGATGCTGAAGGACTTTGGCAAGCTGAAGATATCATTCTGCTGGCTGTGATCTGATTGGAGGACAGCGAGATGGGTGGGGGAGGTTTATAAAAACTCAGCTGGTATTGTGTGAGAATCAGACATTTAAGTGAGGATTGGTTGAAAAATAGAGAAGAAGAGGAACAATTCGAGCTTTGTTGGTGTCCATCATGGGGGACACTAAGCTCTACCTGTTTCTTCTTCTCAGCGCTTATGCTTTGGCTGGTAAGATTTACGACTAACCTTTGATTCTCGATTTTAATATAATCTTAGACAATATATCCTTGAATTGATGAGTAAACTTAAAAACATTAAAGGCAGAAATAAAAATAATGTAGAAACCTGCTTTTCCTTCTCTAAACAATTTGCTTTAAAAATGCAGAAGGTTCCATTTTAGAGACACAAAGTTTTTATGAAAGTAAAAATGGTGTGTGTGTGTATATATATATATATATATATATATATATAATTTAAAATTTGAAACAATAGCTACATTTGCATTGTTGGAAATATAAATGGAATACATTTTTGTTTTTAAAATGCTTTTTTCCTTGCAAATAG